CCCCGAGTCTGTTCTCTAATTATCATGTGTACTGTCTTCTCTACAGAAATGCATGAAGTATGTGAGAAAGAGATGGACGACAGAACCAGAATATTGGGATTCTGGTCTTCTTGTCTTGATCACTTCCGAGTCAACAACCCTGAGAAGGACTTGTGAAAGATTAACCCTGCGCAGACTTCAGCCTATCCAGTAGGTGGCGATAGCCTCCATCACTAAACCGGCTCTGGAGACTGATCAGGATTATTATAATTATTATTATTATTTTTGGAGTGGGGAGGTGCTCCATAATTGTCCCAACTAAAGGTAGAACAAGCAGCTTTAAAGCATTCTTCGTGATACCTTCACGTCATAATAATACAGACCTTAAAGATCATCCACGGAAACCTGCATTTGCCCCAGGATGTGAGCAGAACCTGGCAGAGAACGAACTGCAAGGCCTCCTAAATCTCAGCTCTGGGTTCTGGGCTGAAAAGTGGCTGTGCTTTATTAAGAGAAAGCCAACCATTTGTCGTTTACTATCTGTTTTAACTCTGCTTGACATTTTTATTGATATATGGATAAAAACTTGAAATTTTCCTATAGTTCATTATTTTACATTTTTCTTCTATGTATTTGATATTATTATCTAGCAAATGTCCTCAAATTTGAACACTGCAATGCACACGAAGTCACAAAATACTAAGAAGGGGTGGTCTAACTATCATTTGTGCATAATGAAAACAAAAAACACTATTTAGTTTGCACTGTACCATTATTGTTTATAAAACATTTAAATAAAATGAAACTTTTAAAAAGCATTCACTCTGTAAATGAATTTAAATATGTAAAGTTAGCATTGAAGCCATTTGTTTGGAATTTGTTACACATTTTTCCTTTGTAACAGTTGGCCAACACATTCTCAAGGTATGTCTAGTGAATTCCCTACTCTGGCTCCAGTGTTTACATTAGCAATGGCAACAAGCTGAAAATGAGTAAGTGTAACTCTAGCCCTGGAAAATATTTAAAAGACAAGGTAGGAGATGGGAAATTAGAGGTTTTTTTAATCCTTAAAGACGAAAGAAGGGAATGGGTTAGTATTAGGTCATACAGTTCCATGTCTGCGTGCTAGATGGAGCTCCTGAACCAGAACAGCTTGATTCCTCGCCAAATCAAGGGTTTATAAAAGGAATGTTCATCTCACAAATATCCACATGTTCCTCATAAGTAATTTATGGATTTTGTCTTTTGCTACTGCTGAAATTTTAGCTTCAAAATTATGACTAAGGAAAGTTTTGATAGCTCACAGCATACCAATTTTTAAGATGCAAGTATTCATAAAACACTGATATTCACAACCCAGAAGCATGTGAGTCTCCTTACTTTCACCTCTTGGTAGATGACTATGGATTGGACTCTCAACTTGTCTGGGCTAGCTTCAGTTTCTCATTTGTAAAAGGGGTAAGTAATGAGCAAATGCAGTAGATTGATCAGCAAAAAGTGAGACTATAACTTTTACCACTGGAGTTGCTCTTCTCCAGTAATCTGTTTGGGCCTTGGTTCTAATTCAAATTCATGCCCAGACATGGGCCAAGTTTTCTGAGTGGTGACCCCAACATTCTTGCCCCCTGGCTGGAAGAAACACCTTAGCATATTCTCTTGGTTACCCATCATGCTAAATTTTTATTTTTATTTCATATTAAGTATCTACTACCACAAACTCCTGAGGTGCACTAGCTGGATCTTTACAAAATTCAAATATTGATTTTTTTTTCTGGTACTGGAAATTGAACTCAGGACCCTGTGCTTATCAGGCAGGCACGGTGCCACTGAGCTAGATCCCTGGCTCAACTACTGAAGTGAAATGACTAGTTTTTAAAAAAATTTCTAAGGGCCAAGTTTTTCACATATTTTTGGAAGGAGATAAATTTTCTTGATGCTAGCATATCTTTCTATAGAAAATTAACAAGTAAAAAGAGTAAAGCTATTATTTAAGAAGTTTATTAATTTCTCTAACTGACAAGTTTTTGGAACAAGTAGTACTAGCTTGAAAGAAGCAATGAATGCCATCTAAAATGTATGACAGCCCATCTGACGAACAGACATTTCTATTTTCACCAGCCATTGTTACTGGTACTTTTTAAAAAACCAGTAATGAAACTCATATACGTTCTTAGTTTTTCTAAAAAAGACATTACTGAAATTTATCACAGTCCTGCATTTCTTTCAAAACCAGGACAAATACCAAATTAAAAAGGTCAGAGCAGAGTATGCACATTCATTTGTTTTTTCTGATGGTCAGTATTTAAGTTTTAAGTTTTCCTCTCTGTTTTCTAAATTTAGTTATAAAATTGTCGTCATCGTCGTTGTTGTCGTTGTTGTTTCCAGTGCTAGGGATTGAACCCGGGGCCTTGCACATGTTAAGCAAGCACTTTACCACTTAGTTACCTCCTCAGCTTTAAAATTCTTTAAAAAAGGGTAAGAGTAATGATTTTAGTGTGAGTTATGTGAATTTAACTTTAATGAACAGACAAAGTGGCACTGGTGTGAAATGGTCAGTGACCAGCAGTTGCTATTCCTTTGTCCTATTCCAGGCCAACGTGCTGGTTTCACTGGACTGGTGCTTTCTCTTTGCAGAGGCTGGAGCACACTGAGAAGCTGGCCAGGAGTATATGCTCACTCTGTCCTCTGCCTCAGGGGACACAGAAAAGCTTCAGGACAGAAGAAATGTGGGCTTGATTGGTCTTCAATGTTACTGTAGAAAAATATCACAAGAAGGTGTCCGAAAGATCACGGAACACAGCAGCCATCCCTGAGACAGCAGGCTCAAAGTTTTTATTTTGCTGTGCACATGCTTGCAGCAGTTGAGTTATACTGGGGTGCATTCGAAATATGTAACCTCCACCACTTCCACTCAGGAAGTGAGTTCAGGGCAGCGAGCAGAGGCCTGAAGAGCCCTTCTGTTATATGAGTTGCTTCTTCCTTCGGTGCTGGGGCAGGGGGAGGTGAGGGTAGGTGAGAGGCACCTTGCAGGCCTGGTGGAAGCAGTGCACTGCCTCAGAGCTGCACTGCGGGCCTGGCCACCTGCTGGCCTAGAGCTAATGAAAGCCTCTCATCTCGCTACAGAGGAAAGCCAGATGCCCCTTTTTCTCCAAGGTATCTAATATATTGCTGTGCCAATCTTGAAGGAAAATAAAAGCTGCACTTTACAGGTAGGAAGATTCTGGCTGTTGGTGAAAGAACTACTAGTAATCCAGTTTTCAGAAATTTTATCTACTTTATCTATTGTTTGCAGATCACAGGGCAATGGGGTGAAATTTCTGATGTCTCATTTTTAAGTGGATAAAATAAGAGGTCAACAGAAAATACCGTGACTACAGCTGGGTAAGTGGGCCCTGCGGGACAAGCTTTCTCTTGGAGGTGTTTATGTGTATTTAAGATGGTCAAAGATGCAAATGTCTTCACCTGAGTGTTCCGTCTATACCTTCTGACCAGTTCATGCATCAGCCCCAGGTCCAGGACAGGTGATGCTCTGTGATATGAATGACTCACTGATCTTCTTCCCAAATCACGGGGCAAGAGTCCATTCATTTTATTTGATAACTATGCGTCACCAAGATTCAATCATCCCTTTATCTGATTCTCTGTATTACACACAGAATCTGTATTTTATACACACACACACACACACACACACACACACAACATATATATATATATATGTATATATATATATATATATATATGATAAAATCAAAAGGGAGAAAGAACAATGACTAATGTAAACTTTTCTCCTTCAAAAGAGTCAAATTTAGGATTTCTCCTTATGCAGAAAGTAGAGGTCATGTTGTCTTATAGAGATAAATTCAGACCCCCGCCCCTAGCTCTTTAAATTTTTCAAATTTAAATTCTGGTAAACCCCCTAAATTTCCAGTTGTTGAAAGGGCAAAGGAAATCTTAGCTTCACAAAACAGCTATTTAAGGTTTACTATGCTCCCAGTGATTCAGACCCCACTTCTTGTTGAGGAGGCCCATCCGCAGGCACCTTGAGGTTTCCGGTCCTATTGCTACACACAGGAAAATCACACTTGATCTCCCAACCTGATGAAGGCAGCCCCTGTCAGCCATCGGCTCCCTACAGCAAACTGGAGGTGGTGAGGCACCCTGTGTAACACGATCTAGGGCTCCTCCAGACCAACTCTGGTTTACCTGGGCCTTGCACCTCGGTTCCTATCAATGATGCAGGTATCTGTCTGCTGCCATTGGAAACGTTTCCTTTGCTTGTTCTTTCTACAAGGCAGAAGGCCATCTCTCATCTCAGGACAAAAAGACAAATCCAGAAACGGATCAGTGACTGAATACACAAGGCTTGCTGTAGTGGTAATAGACTAAGGAGAACTGGGGAGACAGCAATAATGTGGTCTATCTTTCTCTCGAGCTAAAATAATAATGAGAAAAAATAAGTGACAGATTTCTGAAAGCCATTATATTTACAAGGATACTGTTGGCTGCTCCTGTAATTGCTTTGCCAACTTCTGTTTCTCCCTATTTGGAGACCACTCTGTCTGTTAAAATCAAATCTTAATTGTATTTTCAACTTGCTGCTCTACCTATTCTATTGCTGAGATTTGGCATGCTAGAGGCCTTTTGTCAAACAGCAGTTGGGCCGCAACTTCTTCATCACAAGGATGCCTCTTTCATGCTCACACACAGTTCCACCCGTGGATCCCAGGTGCACATAGGCTGATCCATTTACCCACCTACGCATACCTATTTAGGTTATGGTTTCTATGGAGGATAGTGGAACCATGAATGCTTTGGAAATGGTGAGTTGTGTTTGAACCTGAAGTTCGAGGTTTTAGACTCAACATCTTGAGTTCTCACCTTTCTTTGCAAACCCGGGGAACCACCCTTCATGAATACAGGAGATTATTTCGCTCCTTCTTTTCCAAGTCCTTTTTCAAGGCGAGTAACCCCTGAATCAGACCTCCCTGGGGAGAGAGCTGGCTCGTGCCTGGAGTTACCTGGGTCCTTGTAGATGCTGAGCACACCCTTAAAGTAATGAGGTAAAAATCTTTCCAGTAAAAGCAGCACATCTTCCAACTCCTCGAGGATCCCCACGAGCAGGAAGTTTTCGTTCACGTTCAGCTTTGCGCGTTCAAGGGCCCACTCACCAGGCTCCCTTCATGGAGATAAAAAATCATTTTTAAGTCAACGATTCATTTTTGAAATGCATCAGCAACACATGGAAAGTTGATCCCTTCTGCATGCCATCTCCATCTGTGCATGTCCAGATCTGTTTTCCTCTGGGGACCAACCTTGGTATAGCCTGATTCAAGCCTTCCCTGGTCTTTCTGGCTAGGGACCACCTTTGGTCATTTTCTCCAGTGTATAAAATTCAGGCCCTTGAACTGAGTGAGTCCTGTATAAGCATTTGTTGAAAGTTAAGTACAGACCCAGGCATTTAGGTCCTTACAAATGGTGATGGGGTCCATTAAATGCTAGGTTTTGAAATGTGAAAATGACTGACATCGTGCTTCTGCAGAAATCAAAACAAGTGTCAGTTCATGCCTCTAATCATCATATTCCTTTAAGAGTTAAAAGAAAATGTTTTTTAATGACTCAGAGGACCCAGGCTAATCTTACTGGCAGGCCAGAGCTCTGAGTCGGCATTCATGTAAGTGAGAAAAGCCCAGGAGCTGAGCTCAGGTGTGGCTACCATTTACCATGTAGGAGAATTTGGGTAAGCCAAAGTTCTCTTTTGAAAAATGGTGGTAATAATTCTTGCCTGTCCCCAAAGAATTGTAAAGGTTGTCATCTGAAAGAGAGTTGAGCATCATCATGCATGAACTAAGATAAGGTACCATGAGTACTCAGCCCAACAATAAGAAAAAGATAATTTGAGAAACAGTTTTGGGAATTAGAGTCATGTTTCTTGAAATACACATCTTCATTGCAATTAGAAAGTAAATCATCTGGCCCCAAATCTTCCCCGTATCTGAAGCAAGGAAGCAGCAGGTATTTATTATCAGGGTAAACACTGGCGGGAGGCTGCTGGAACCCAGGATGTATATGATGAAGCAGAAGATGGACACTTGTAGCCCCAAAGTTTGTGTTACAGTGAGCTAAACAAAACAACATGCCTAATAATGAAGCCCAAATTGCAGCATAAGCAAATAAAATGTGCTGCACTTGAGAACCAGCTGTTCCTCCTTGGCTTCTTCAGGAATAGCACTGTCTAAACAGTGTTTCCTCTGGGGGAAAATGTCACTTCTGCTACAGCCTTTATGTTCCACCAAGTAGAGATAATAATTCATTGGTGCTACCATTTCTTCCCTAGGCTACAGACATATGTCTAACACAATGGATTCCAACTCTAGCTATTCCAGAAACACCTGGAGAGGTGGTTAGGTACGTCTGTGCCTGACCTAAGAGTCTGTGATTACCTGGGAGTTCTTTGCAAATAGTCCATTGCTGCTCTATGGGATGTGAGCACCCTATGCTCCAAGGGCCCTGGCTATTTTAGGAAGTCATTTTCTAAAGAAAAAAATGCATCAAAGCTCAGCCACTGTAAACAGTTTCCTTTTATTCTACTAAGTGTGTCTCTCCTGAGAGAGTATTTTTGGACCTGGGTGTGGCTTTCCAGGTATTAGATAGACACAATGAGATGTTAGGGGCAGTTGTATAATCATCGTGGAGCAGGTCGGGCGCCTGTCCCTGGCCTCCATTGTCTCTTGGACTGAGAGATAACAGCTATGGGATTAAAAAAGGGTCTGGTTGGCTTTCCAATGACACAGCTGAATTGGAGGTCCCCTGAGGCCTCTGAAAAAAATCTAAATTTAAATGTCATTGCCTTTCAGACACTGGGAGTTGCAAAGGGCATATGTGAAGATTAGTGCTGAGTATGAGTTCTAAAAGGTCGAGAGAAGATTTCCAGAGCGCCCGTCTGTAAGGCAAGCATGGTGTGAGCCTGGGTTACTCTTTACCTGCATCTGGGATGCTGTCCACAAAAATACGGAATGATGTAAAATAACCTGGGGTTGGAACACTCGGGATAGTTTTCAAGAATGCACTCATTGATATCCTGGAAGAGAAAACAGCAGTGAGATGCCTCATGGTCTCTGCAGTGCTTTGTGGAAAGCCATACAGTTTGAGGAAGATTAATATTTAAATTATAGGGAGCAATCTTGGGCGGATGTAGAAAATTCATATGCTTGCCCAGAAAACTTTCTTATTTGCTGCTCACCATCTAGTTCTACTGGCTAGGAGCACATCTGGCATGCCAGTTCAGAGAGCAGTTTCTGGGTTGAGTAACTGGCACCCCTGCACCTCGAAGGCTTCAGCTGGATTACACATCATGAGAGCAGTCTACCAATGTGCTCTGTGGTAACCCTCAGCAGCTACCAACAGAGTTAGCACTTGATAAATATTTGTCCTATGAATTTGGTATGACTTAATTCTTAATGAATTCTGAATTAATCACATACCAGTATGATCAGCCCTGCGGCAATGAGTTTCCCTGTGATTCCATACATACAAAAATGATCAAGTATCTATAGTAGGTTCCTAAAGGGTTTGTACATTACAGAGGAGCTATAAAATGATATCTAATATTACAACAGGTTAGAAAGTGACCTTGTACAACATTAGATGTACTATGTTAGAATGTATGTGTATGGATACCTTCACTTTCAAAGGCAACAATTTCTGTAATTTAAGGCTGGATATGGTGTCTCCGTTAACAACCCAAGAGCTTAGAATGGCTTAAAGTCTCAGAATCTACTTTTCTTAAGACAGTTGACCTTGGATACCCTAGGTTCTAGGTACTTCTAAGGAGAAAAGAGAATCCAATTCACAGACCAGACAGCTGTGCAATGGTTTTTCTAGGGAAGATATTGGCAAGGCTAATTATGGGTAGAGATATAACTCCCAAATATGGTCAATGGAGTTTGAGTCTATAGAAGACACTTGTGATATGATTGGGGTAGACGGTTAGCTATTAGCAATTTTTCAAATCAAGTTGAGAATGTTGTTGCTGTTTAAACAACACTTTCTTTTCCTTTCTTTGGTTTATATATAGCCAAATAAACCACACAGTTACAATAGCAAATTCAACTGGAATAAACAGTCATCAACAAACACACTTGAGCATACTCAAGCACTTGAGTTTACTGGCAGGAAGCAGAGTTGCAATAAACAAAGAATGAATGAGGAGAAGACAGAAGGACAGAGCCATGACACACAGACCCACAAGGAAGAGATGAAGCAGCCGCGACTTCTGCTAGCTGAGCCTGCCAAGACCCTGTCCCTGCAGGCCTTGGCCTGGCGGCTCACAGAACCTCTGAAGGACATCAGCTGGTCACTGAGGGGTGATGAAGAGGCACAGGGGCTTTAGAAGGCCATTTTCTTCCTGTGATCCACAAATAACCTCACAAAGTCAATTTATGGGAAGTCATAAATTCGAAATTTAAGAAGTAAAGTTAACCATTCTCTTTCTGTTAGACCAAGGCACATCCTGGGGGATTTCAAAGAATTCCATTTGAGTCCATTAAGTGGTGCTCATCATCCTCTGTGCCACGGGAAGATGTAAACAGAAGATGACTCAGGTGGAAGAGTCAGATGAGAGCTGTGAAGCCCACACCTTCAGCCACTCACTGTTTACAACTTAAACAGGAATGCTGTATGGCCACCACTGAAACACCAGAACCTTCAGGACTCAGTCAGGTTCTGGCCACTTACACAGTCCACCTACTGGGACCAAGACCATTGGCAAGAGCCATTTCAGCTCCCTGGGCAATGGAGTTGGCCAGTAGTCTCAAAGCAGCCACTGGCCCGTGGCACCTTCCTCTGCCAGGAGCTGAGTCACTCGGGACCATTGGGTTCCTGCAGTGCTAATGATTTTTAGACTTGACTTAAAGCTTAATCACAGTCACCTTTTTATACGGAACTTTTCTTAGCACATATGTATTTTGAAACGATTATGCAACTTCATTTTAAAAAATCTTTGCATGCAGTACTTCCAGAGTAAGATTGCTTTAAAAACCTTTAATTCTTTACTATCACGGATAGAACTTGAGCTCTTGTGCTTGAGAGGCAGGCGGCAGAACCTCTGAGCCAAATCCCCAGCTTTAATTCTTAACTTTAGCCAAACCAACCTGTTTGCCAGTACTTGGTGTCTGATTTGGTCCTCTGGTCCCTGGATCTTGACATATAGCAGGTTCGACCTCCAATGCTGACCTCTGCCCAGCCCTCACCCTCTCTAAGAGTAGATCTTAATGCAAGACCCACTCTTCTTATCCTCCCACAGCATCATGGGACCAGTGAGACAGTGTCTTTAAGTGAACACTACTAACAACTATGACAATCCTTTTAATTGCCAAGATCATAAAATAATAAGGCCACTTTGGGTGGAATTGATTCCAAACAAGTTTAAAAAATATACAATTGTTTAAACTAAATTCCAAGAAACATGCTTTTTAAAAAAATATTATAGTTTGGGCTATTAAAAGGAAATGGGGTCCTGGTCTGAGGTCTGTGGATGGTTAACTGAGTATCCTTGGCTAAATCATGTTAACCCTGAGCCTCAGTGTCCCCACATTTATAACATGGGGTTGAGCCACATAATTTCAGTCTATGAATCTATACACAGACTTTTCTCATTCCTTAAATTAGTCAACTTTTAAGGATGGTTTTGTATACTGCTGATAATGTCTTTGGTTCCCAAACCTACAAATTTAATAAAAGGCTTTCTCTCAGCATTTACCATTGAAACTTTTTCACTTTTTACAGAAGGCAATTGGGAAATGCACTGTGGTTAGTATCAGACAGAGCTCAGTTCAGATATTGGCTGTGCCATGTGTTAGCTTGATTCCTTGGCAAGTGTATACATTTTATAGTCTTAATGTCCTAATCTATAAAATGGGGCAAAAATATTTTCCTCATAGGCCCCTACTAAGGTTATAAATCATGTGTATATCATTTATTCAACCTGACACTTAATTCTTGAGATTATGCCATCTTTATTATACACATTATATAATTCTTTTCCTTTTAGTTTATATTTAAGAGCACTATTCCCAGTGATTCCAACAGTTTTTATACAGTGACTTCAGCTAATCCACAGAGAAACCAGAGAGGAAAAAATATGGAAATATGAAGTGTGCTATATAAATTCAATAAAAAATACAAGTTGTTAAAAATCCCAATAATAAATGTAACTTTACTGTTTGCTTAAATGTGCCAATAAACTTAATGGAAAAAAAATCCCAAGCAATATTAGGCAAAAAAGCCAGAATACACTACTATGAAATGTTTGATTTATTATATCTCATCTCACTCTTTTCATGAAGCCATATAACACTCTGACATAAAAAAAGCTCTTTTTCAGTGTGGATTTAAAATTTATTTGTGAATCAGTCTTCACGCTTTAAGAATACAGACATTAAAGAAAAGTGGAATGACAAAATAGAGGACACAATGAAGGACAATGTCTTGTGCTCACTGTAACAGTGGTGTTAGAAATGGAGGACAGAAAAATTTACTGAGTGTCATTCTTCACAGAGGCAGTTTCTAATTCTGGACCCATAGGTAGACCATGCTAATCCGAGTACAAATTTAACAGATTAAGTCAGTTTTGGTAAGTGGAATGGACTTGGTTTAAGCTACCTTTTATTATTCACACTCTTCCTCATAAAGCCTTGTAAAAATTTTGAGCCTGAACTAGGGAGAGTCAAGCAAGACATTTTAGCGAGGAAGTTAATGGACTTAAAAGTGGCAGGTGGCCAGATATCCTTTTCTTGTCTCATGGTCCTATCAGCCTTGAATCTTTCTAGCATAGATGGGAAGCCCTTCAAAACCTTCCCAATGCAGCCCTCCTGAAAGCATCATTATCAGGTAGAGTAGCACTTTATTCTCCCTATTTTAAGTACAATGTATGGTGCTGGATCCTTCTATGGGGCACCTGTTTTGGTGGATTTATGTTTCTTCATATCACTCCTGAGATCATGGTCCAGATCATGATCATTGTGTCTAATGGCAGAAATGCAAATAAGACTTTCTGGATAAATGTATCTTTCTACATTTATTGTAGCCAATATCCTTATATATTGGGGACTCTAGTTTGGTGGAGCTCTTTAACCCTGAACCAGACACACACAAACACATACACACATATGAGATCAAACATTTTTGGGGGCCATTCATTTACACTCCAAGATTCTGAGTTTAAAGTTTCTACTGAATTAAACTAAAGACAGAGAAGTGGCCACAGTTTCATGATGCAGTGTTACAAGAGGAGGATTAATATGGTATCCAGCTCAGTTTTTATTAGGTTTCAGTAGGCTCTTTTTAGTTAACTACAATGAAGTGCACGGAGCCTTTAACCTTAGGGCGGGGCAGGATCTTGTGCAAGATGTAAATGCTGCTCCCCAGAAACACCCCTGCACTTCTTTTCATATGCAGTTATTTAAAAAGGGAGCTCAAGGTCAAGGGGTTTTGCTGTTTTCCAGGTATGTGGAGAGTTCAACTTCAGTGATTTCATAGAGGATCTAGAAAATGTGGGAGTCAGCAAAATAAAAAATAAAATATGAGATGGAATCCAATTGGCTAACAGACAATGGTTACTTCTATTTTTATAGCAAAAATGTTTATCATAGTATTGTTTAAAGATTAAAAATTATAAATAATTCAATTACAGTGATTAGGTAAATTGTCACAACTATAAATAATGGCAGTCATCTAAAATATTTACAAAGGACATGAAACTATAAGAAAAATGCTTATATGAGACAATCAGGGTAAAGTTACATATACAATATGACTACAATCCTATTGCTTTTTAAAAATCTGTATTTTAAAAATAACCTGGAAGAAAATGCACCAAAATATTTTTTACAATGGTTGGGCTTAAGATGGTGGGATCGTGGCTATCCCTTCTTTAAAAAAAAAAACAACCTCAAGATCTTAGTTAATGTACATGTGCTACTTGAAAAAATTCAAAAGTTTTATCAAAGTAAAACATGTTAACATTAAAAACCACACACACAAGCGAAAGACCAACAACGAATGTTATGAAAGAGGTTGTAA